GCCCACTGTTTACAGTTTTGTTTGTTTTTGTTTTGTTTTTTCATTTCTGGGATATTTGAAGACAGAAACTATCATTCCAAAGGTTAAAATCTGCCCCAACCCTCAAGACTCATGTCATGGAGGCCATTTAGAATCAATACTTTTTTTTTCTTTCTCTCCTAGTGTCATGAAATGATAACCAGTATTACTCCTTGGAATTGGTTATATGATCAGGTCAGCACAGAAAACTTGATATTTTGCCGTCTTATGAGACCTTTCTGAATGAAAATTTAGGTTTCTCTGGGACGTTTTGGAATTGTGGAACTAGCCAGTGGACTTCAGCCCTCCTGGGACCCTGACTAGGGTACTGGTACTAGGTGTGATAGACTGTGCTGAGGTCATCCTCTTGGAATCTTTGACTCAAACTGATAAGCTCTGAGCTGCTCAGTATCAGGGTTGACTTAAGCCAGGGAAGCCAAGGCAGCCAAGGCTAGACTGGAAAGAAACCATTTAAGCCAACTTGCTGCTCTATTCCCTGTCAGAAACCAGTGTCTTCCATTTGTATTCAAATAGTTTCACATTTTGGTACACTCCAAATTTCAGATCTCTGGATTAGAGATGCAAAATTGGTAACATCTATTCAGATACTTCTGAGTCAGAACTATTTTCCATCCTTTTTAGACAAGGACTGCTTAAGTACACACCTGAGCCTTAGTTTGTGTGCACTATTATCCTAACCAGACTTATTCAGCAGGCCTTTTATGGCAAACTGTCATATTGAAAATGAAAGTCATATATGGCCTCATGGGCTTCAGTCTACATGAATGTTTCTTGGCTTGAGTTTTAAGCCAGTCTTCCAGAATAGGAAGCATTTCAGGAAGGTGATAGTCACCAACAAGAATTGCTCACCATTTTATGATGATCATTGCATGGAGAGAACATATGGTCCCATTTCAGCTGATGGCTCCTAAAGGTTGGCTCCTCGAAAGGAAGAAGTCAAATTATCGCTATTTGCAGAAGATATGATAGTATACATGAGTGACCCCAAAAACTCTACCAGGGAACTCCTACAGCTGATAAACACCGTCAGCAAAGTGGCTGGATACAAAATTAGGGAAACAACACCCTTCACAATAGCCACAAATGACATAAAGTACCTTGGTGTAACCCTAACCAAGCAAGTCAAAGACTTGTATGAAAAAAATTTCAAGTCTCTGAAGAAAGAATTAGAAGAAGATATGAGAAGATGGAAAGATCTCCCATGCTCATGGCTTGGCAGGATTAACATAGTAAAAATGGCCATCTTACCAAAAGCAATCTACAGATTTAATGCAATTCCCATCAAATTGCCAACACAATTCTTTACAGACTTGGAAAGAAAAATTCTCAACTTCGTATGGAACAACAAGAAACCCAGAATTGCTAAAACAATCCTCTACAATAAAAGATCTTCTGGAGGTATCTCCATCCCTGATCTTAAGCTGTACTATAGAACAACAGTTACAAAAACTGCATGGTACCGGCATAGAAACAGAATGGTGGATTAATGGAACCGAACAGAAGACCCAGAAATAAACCCACACACTTAGGGACACCTGATCTTTGACAAAGATGCCAAAACCATACAATGGAAAAAAGACAGCATCTTCAACAAATGGTGCGAGTCTAACTGGATGTCTACATGCAGAAAAATGCAAATAGATCCATACTTATCACCCTGCACAAAACTGAAGTCCAAGTGTATCAAAGACCTCAACATAAAACCAGACACATTAAATAGGTTAGAAGAAAAAGTGGGGGAAACCCTAGAACTCATAGGTACAGGAGACTACTTCCTGAACAGAATACCAACAGCACAGGCTCTAAGAGCAACAATCAATAAATGGGACTTCATGAAACTGAAAAGCTTCTGTAAAGCAAAGGACACCTTCATCAAAACAAAACGACAGCCTACAGATTGGGAAAGAATCATCACCAACCCTTTTTCTGACAGAGGGCTGATATCCAGTATATATAAAGAACTAAAGAAGCTGAAAAGCAGCAAACCAAGTAATCCAAGTAAAAAATAGGGAACCGAGCTACACAGAGAACTCTCTGTAGAGTAATATCAAATGATAGGTTTTTTTTTTAAATATATAGTATAAATGTTTAGCTTTTTTTTTTTGTTTCTATGAGAGTGTATATATATTTTTAATAGCACACACACTCATTTTTTTTATATCCTCTTATGATGGCAGGAGGTCCTTGAATAAATTCTTTGGTGAGGTCTTTCTGCTTTGCATGTGGCTGTGTACCATTATCCAGCAGGCTGATAGTTTTTGCATGGCAGTGTTTTTAGTTCACAGATTGTCATTAAAACCTGATTTGAAATGTTCTTTCTTAACCAAAGTTTTGAATAAGCTGTTAGCACCTTGTTTTACAGGGGCAGTGGTGAACTTCACTTAGACTGATGGAGAGGTCTTGATCCGTGTTTTTTCCTGTTTTGCTGCTAACTTGGTATACAGATAGTGTACTAGCCCATTGCTTTTCTCACGGAAGATGCTGTAAACATTTCTCACATTTGAGTAAAGGTGGGCCTCCGGCACCTTAGGATGGCTTCCAAGCAGTTTCATTACCATCCCAGTTACTGCACCATCTCAAGTCATGCCTGATCTTTCTTGCTTTTCCTTGTCTGGGGGCACTTACAACCACTGTGTTTGACCTGTCCAAACATTAGACACCATGGGTTTCCATCTCATAGTTTTGTTGGAGGCCAGTGAATCTGTTGCACCTGGTTCTCTTGCTATTAGAAGCATTTCTTCTTTACTTACCACCAGAGGGGCAAAGGGCGGGCGAAGGCCAGGTGAATTTTGTCTGTAGAGCCTATTAAGGAAGACCTTCAGTGTCACTGCTATGATTGGGATCTCAAATGTTCTACAAAGACCATGAGTTGCATTAGAAGCTGGTGGAACCTTTAGGAGGCAGGGTCTAGGCAGGTTATTCTCAAGTTGAATAACCCTTTCACAGGGGTTGCCGAAGACCAGCAGAAAACAGATATTTACAATTCGTAACAGTAGCAAAATTACAGTTATGAAGTAGCAATGAAGATAATTTTATGGTTGGGGGTCATCACAATGTGAGGAACTGTATTAAAGGGTCCCATCATTATGGAGGTTGAAAAATCACTGGGCTATAAGAAGGAAGTTAGGTCCACTTGCCTGAGTCCTTGAAGGGATATTGGAACCCAGGCCACTTCTTGTCTTTGTCTTTTACTTGCTATCCCATGTGAGGTTAGCAATGTTGCTTTACCATGTATTCCTTTCATGATGTCTGCCTTGCCATAGACAAGGCAGACAATGGAGCCAGCCTGCTGTGGACTAAATGCCCCAAAACCCTGAGCCATAATAAAGCTTCCCTCTATTGAAGTCAAGTATTTTCCTTTGGTATCTTGTCATAGCAATAGAAAGCTGACCTACACTGTCCCCAAGGGAGTTAACAGTGTAAATTCAGGCATTCATATGTGTCCTGGAAGGTTATTAGATCCACTGGATGCACAAATACTCTTTAAAAGACTGACTTCAGACAAGTTCCTCTTTCTTCTAGAATAGATATGTAACTGAGAGATAGAGAGATGGTGGGCAGGGCCAGGGCTAAGTCACATATGTAATTAGGTCAGTGATGTCAGCAGGAGAAATAAGAACTCAAATCCAGATACCAGTACGTCATCTCATTTTACATTAAACACTTGGCAGAGAGAAAGGCATAGTATTCTCATTGTATTACTTATGGGTTTTTTCTTACAGTAAATCATATTGTTAAAACCATCCAACTCTTGAGGTAGAGCTAGAGAATGCATAAAGAGGTATTCATTTTTAAATCAAAATTTATGAACTTGCCTTATAACACTTTTTAATAGCTCTGCTTGAATTATCACTTTCTATTTGAGTAAAATAGAATTCATTTTTTCTGTGGGGTTTTAACATTTTGGGGTCATATTCATCTTATGGATGAATTAATAGATCTTCTCCAAGTGAACTGTCAAGACAGATCCCCGCTGGGTTTGCAGTGATTAAAGATGCTAATGAACTCCCTTGGGAATCTGCAGAGCACGCCAGCGTTCCCTTGAAAATGCTAGGAAAAAAAAAAAAAAAAAACAGGAGTGTTTGCCCAAGTGTGTGCACAGTAAATGCACAACCAACTCCACAAGCAGGAGGGAGTCTGGCCACCTATATTGACTGCTTGCCCCTTAACTGCCATGTAGCTTAGAGGTGCTAGTCTCATGTTTCCTGGTATGGGCAGGGGATGCTTTTAGCCTTAGGACCGGGGATTCAGTTGATGACATTTGTGGAAATGACAGTGCAAGAGACTATGAGTTGTGGGTAGGGCTCTGTGTGGTCCTTCTCCTTATGAGCTTGTGTCTGTTGTATCTGAAGCTTTTCTTGTATTTGGGGCAATGGGTAGTAGAGAAGAGGGCTGGAGATGCTTGGAAGTCTTTCCTCCATTGTCATTTTTTTCACCTGTTTCTCATGCAGCATAAGTGTCATGTGTTTGTATGTGCACACTCGTGTGTGTGTGTGTGTGTGTGTGTGTGTGTGTCCATCCTTCCATGTGTCCATCCCAGGCCCCTGCAGAGGAGCTTATGGAGTAGGGAAGGCAGCAAAAGGTAAGGGTGGGTGTTCATGTTTGGTGAGTATTTTTCAGTGTGGAAGAGCTTTTCCCTGATCAGTCATTTACCAAGTGTTTGGGGATTTATTTTAAGAGAGAGTATGTGTGTGTGTGTTTCTGCATTTACGAGCAGGTGTCTAGGAAGGCCAAAGAGGATATTGGATCCTCTTGGAGCTGCAGTTACAAGCAGTTGTGAGCCACCAACGTGGGTACTGGGAACGAAACTCTGGTCCTCAAGAACAGTAAGCACTCTTAACTGCTGGCCCATCTTTGCAGTCCTGTTTCACCAGTGTCTTTTTTCTTTTTCTTTTTAAATGGATAATTGAACTCAAACAAGCAATCACATCTGATATGTGTTCCTTTTTATTTCTCTGCAGATCCCATAGGTTCCTTTCCTGTAGTGTTATCCTGGTTGGTTCCTGCTCATCTGCTAAGATCTGAGCTGACTCGAGAGCTTGGAGGATCACTGCAGCTTTGTAACCTTCAAGGTGTCCTCAGCAAAAATCCCTCATCTTTTTGAAGATTGCTACATTTTGCCAGTCACCTCTTGTAGTTGTGTGCCAAAGGTAAGCCTGCACATTTCTGCATAAGAGGTTTAGCCGGTGTTGGGTTTTATTTTATTTGCTTGTTTGTTTTATTTTGTTCTTTGCCTTGAATGCTTAATTTTCCTAGTAGTTTTTTTTTGTTTTGTTTTTACATTAAAAAAAAGATTTTAATTTTATGTGTATGAGCGTTTTGCCTGCATATATATATATATATATATACATATATATATATATGTATGTATGTATATATATGTATGTATGTATGTATGTATGTATGTATGTGTACCATGTGCATACCCTAATGCCTGTGGAGGTCAAAAGTAAATATCAGATCCCCTTAAACTGGAGTTATGGATGGTTGTGAGCCACAGTGTGGGTGCTGGGAATCCAGTGCAGATCCTCTGCAAGAGTAGCAGTGTTCTTAACCAATGAGCCATTTCTCCTGTCCTCTGCACAGTAGTTATTAAATTATTAATAATGGCATTAAGAATGTCCCTGATTTGTTGAACTGCATTAAATTTAAGCTCTTACAGCACATAGTTCAAACACTAGGTTGCCACTGTTCCAACTTGAGAGTGGATGATTTTGAGCATTTAGATATAAGTATGCCAACCAATGGAAAGCTCCCTTCATGTTCTAGAACATGTTCTGAACTGAGGTTGCTACTATCTGGGGACCAAAAGCATACAGCAAGGAGGCAAGAATGGGCTTTAGGCCGTTCAAGTTCAAGTCCACTTGGTGCTGAGAAGTTTACATCAGAAGAAATGCAAATAAGTAAAGTCTCACCACTTTATATGAGAGATGTGCTTAAGCTCTATTACAAGGAAATGCTGACTGTAATTGACCTTGTGCAGCCAGGACCCTGGAACCCCCATAATGATATTGGTGGACAAAGATGTTTTTGTGTAACAGAAATATTTGTGTATGAAGAAAGAGAGAGATGGAGAGAGAGACAGATGGACAGAGAGAGACAGAGAGGATAGACAGAGAGACAGAGGTGTGTGTCTGTGTGTGTGTGTTTTGCTGGGACAGATACATGCCAAGCAAGAGTTCTATACCTGACCTACATCTCCAGCCCACAAACATACCTTGGCCAAGATTGATTGCTTGAGATGTTTGACTCAGGATGTGGTCAACCCATTCAGTGTTTCCTCTGGCTGACAGTGAGAAACACCTTGTGAGAAGGTATATTGTCGTCTGTAGAGTATTGCCTCAGAATTGCAGGGATAGCACCCATCCACCATCCTTTCCTTTCCCTACAAATATCATATTGTTTCTGTTATTTAGATTGTCTTAAGATAGTCTCAAATCTATGATTTGGTGAATGGAGTGTGTCATAATGATTTCTGTAAATGCACTTTTATGTGTTAGAATGTTCCTTCATTTGGTATAAAGTGACCACTGGAACGCTTTGTAAATATGCTGTTTCTCCTTGATGCTTTTTAAATGTCTGTCTAGAAACTTGTTAGTATCCTTACTGTGCCTGTTATAATATGTGCTATTCAGAATGCCTTAACATTGATATGCTGTATTTCATGAGGGTACAGTTAATGAAGTGCCAGCACTTTACCCCGGTGTCTTTATGATTTCCTGCGGAGAAAGTAACTCATTGTCCAAGGTATGTGGGGGTATCTGAGGTCCATTCAGAACTGGGTGCTATTCTGGAATCCAGAGCTGATGCTCAGGCTTTAGAACCAGACTCCCAGCCCTCCCTGTGCTTTTTATCCCACAGATGCCCACGGAGGGCACTGTTGAGCTTCAGATCCCCTCCTGCCTTCATGGCCTCTTTACCCTCCACATGACAGGCCCATGGAGGTAGGAAGCATCCCAATCGTAGCAGATTGCTTAAAAAGGAAACTTCTCAAACTCCAGTGACTCGAGGTCTTAGAAATGGTCATTGAAGTGGAGCCTTATTAGACTTAGGTCATTTGTGAATGTGGTCACCTGTCAATCCGTTTGTCAGATTTCATGGGCAAGTAAGCTAGAAATTACAGCTTTTCAGATCTGTTCACCAGAGTCCATTAATAATTCATGAGCAACAGACTGGCACTGATTATGAGGAAGTTTTTAATGATCAGTCAGTGACATTGACAAACTCTGAGTTTATACTAAAGAACAGGAGGACTGTACGTGGCTCCTGGCTCTGGGCCAGCCTGCGTACTCAGCAGGGTGCATTACGCCAGCCAGGCAGTGACTTTAGGGGCCATGTTTATTTCATAAGGGATGAGATCTATAAAGAAAGCATTTAATTTTGTGGTCTAGAGTGATAGCAATCATGTAATAAAAACTGCAAGCACTGGCCACATTCTAACCATTTTGTTAGTAGTATTGTTTTTATCACTGTCTTTTAGCAGCTACAAAAAAATAAAAAAAAGATTAAATACGGTTCCAGACTTGCTGTTGTCCTGGGTGGTGAAGGCTAGAATTTATGCAGGATCACCTAGACTATACAGGCCTGTGCCCTCTGTCTGGAGCCAGTCTGTCTGGAGCATGGAAGCATTGCCCTTTGGGAAGGAGTCTGAGAAGGCCCCAGGGATTTACTCTGGAACCAGTTTGAAGGAATAAAAGGACAGATGGGTAGAGATGTCTGCTTAGCACAGGGCAGGCCTGGTAGCCTGAGAGGGCATGTGTCCTACAGGCAGTGGCATGTGGAGCTGAGCTTTTGAAGTGCCAGTAGGAAACACAATGGATGGACAGCATCATTTCATGTGCCAGCGGGATGCCAGGGTAGTGCTGTCTAGGAAGAATAGTAACTGTGATGGCAGTCTTGGGTGTGTTCCCTAGTTACTGGGTACCCAAGGTGTAAACCAAAGGTCTTAGGGTTTTTATTGCTGTAGCAAAGCACTGTGACCAAAAGGCAAGTTGGGGAGGAAATGGTTTGTTCAACTTATATTTTCATATTGTTCTTCATCATGGAGGAAAGTCAGGACAGGAAATCAAACCGGGCAGGAACCTGGAGGCAAGAGCTGATGCAGGGGCCATGGAGGAATGCTGCTTACTGGCTTGCTTCTCATGGCTTGCTTGATATCCCTTCTTATAGAATCTATAACCATCAGCCCAGGGATGACACCACCCACAATATATTGGGCCCTCCCCCATTGATCGATCACTAGTTGAGAAAATGCCTTACAGTTGGATCTCACGGAAGCATTTCCTCAACAGAGACACCTTCCTCTCTGATATCTCTAGCTTGTGTCAAACTGACACAAAAGAACAGCCAGTATACCAGGTTACTATGCCTATATGTGGGCTTGGGCTGGGGGCGCAGTTAGAGGATGGTGAAGTCTCAGAGCTTATTTCCAGGGCTGTGTTCTCCTTTCCCTTGGTCTTACCTCATTAAAGTAAAGGCACAAAATCTGGAGGACCTTGGCCTTCCCACTCTAGACAATGGAGATCATGGAGAGAGGATTCTCACATACCATTTTCACATTCTGCTTATTTTATGTATAGATAATCACTATGCACTTCATTTGAAAACTGAAATTCCATGTTGCTCGAAGTGGCTGTTGCTTAGTAGGGTGGATGCCTTTGTGTGCAATACTGAGGGGGAAGATACCTTCCATTGGATTTCACCAGCTTGTTAGTGGCTGCTAGGATTATATTGAGATATAAATGCCAGCTGCCATGCTATGTGTATCCCTTTCCTCCTGCACAGATACTGCAGTGCAGGAAAAAATAATACACCAAGCCTGTCAATTACCCTTACATTCTTAAGAATATTATCCAGTAGTATTTCTTTAATGAAGGAAAGTTTCACTAATTACATTCACATTATACTTGATTTATATAAAGGCAAATTTTCCTAGGGCTTAACATTTATCAGTCTGTTTTGTACTGTTGCAACAAAATTCCAGAGGCTGGGGGAACACTTACAAAGAAAAGAAGCTTCTTTAACTCACAGTTGTGGGTTCTTCAGCCGTGATGGCCTTCTTGCTGGCAGAGTTCCAAGGCTGTGTATGAAATCAACACACACATGCAAGAGACAGTATGTCTTTTGGTCTTCCTTTTTTGTTAAAAGCTACCAGCATTCATGCATAAATCTGTACCTTGGTGATCATGTCTAATCCCAGTCCATCCTGTAAGTGTCATAGATTAAATTTCAGCCTCCTTAATACTTCACAACAGGGATTTTGACACATAAACCCTAGAGGAGCCTCAACCCACATCCAAACCATACCAATCTATTTAGAAAATGTGGATTTGTTTGTTCCTTATTTTTAGCATGCTCTTACATTTGTTATTTTGGTGGTTGCTAGTAAGTGACTTTGCCCAACACCTCGGGGTTAGAAAGGCTGTTTGCAGATGAAGCTGGACAGTAGGTACTTAGGTTTTTAGGACTCCAGCTGCTGCTCCAGTTTTACACCTGAAAATGACTCCTTGAGTTTTTGCAGAAACAGAGGAGCCTGTGAAAGTTCAGGCCATAGGCTCTGCAGCTTGGACCAATTTCTTCCTGTCCAGGGTGGTTTTCAGGGCCAAGAGAGGATTACAGTATTTGACGTTACAGGTCTTGTAGGTAATAGATCTGTAATAATTGATTAAATAATTGCTTGGTAAGCAATTACAGCTGCATACAAAAGATCTAGAGCATTGCCTGCTCTGTAGTTACTATAATGGAATGATTGTGGAATCCTGGTAGCATTGGTATGAGGTTTGCCCTCACTGGTGTGTCTCTAGCCTTTACTGCAAATAGATTGATTATCTCATGTGCAAGGAGTACGCATTTGAACCAAGATATGCTGCTTAAAAGTTAGGCTTTCTTCCTCTCTTAAGGTTATGTTATCATTCCTGACATGCCCTGGATATGACAGTAACAACTGTGTGCTTAGCTTGAACTCCATGCTTTGAGAGATAAATTCCTTGGCCAGAGCTTAGTGCTCATAGGTACCTAAGGAAGCTGGGAGTGTCCGCCGCTGGCCCAAAGCCTTTCATTTTTACATCAACTTCCTTTGGTTGTTTGCTTGTTTCTCATCCCTACCCCCTGAAGATAGGAAAATCTCTAGCCAGTAAATAGGATTTGAAAA